CCTCAAATGGAGGAGGGATGGCCATGGGCATTTTCCGACTGTTGAGTTCAGTAGCAGTTTAATAGTTCAGCAGTAGGGGTTTCCAGTATAGACGTATATACACTGTTGGAAGCCACATCCCTGTACAATTATTGATAGCTATCCAGAGTAGGAATGGCTCCCAGAAGTTCACCTAAAAAATGCCCGCTAAGCTGACTCAGCTCACTTTGTGACACCAAAGTGCAGGGCCTGAAGTCATTTGGTGATAGGAGTGTGGCCCACAGTGCCTGGCACCCAGGCACAGCTGGGCAGTGGGGGGAAAAAAAGATTTGAAATGTACAGAGGTAGAAGCTAATCTATGGAAAATAGTGGGGAATCTCCTACGTGGATAAGAAAACCATCCACAAGGAGAGAATCAGGCTGATGCACAGAAAGAGGCAGAGACCAGGATGGAAAGATGGTCCTGGTGGCGTTCGCGTCCTGGGTCATTCTTCCCAAGCCTGCCTGTCTCCCTGCCCTTCCCATGATCAGGCATCCAGCTCTTCCCTGAATTCCATGAGCCAATAAATCCCCCATCTTGTCTCAATAAGAGCCCTGAAGCGTAGGCACCAAGCTCGTGCTAACACCGCAGCTCCTGGTCAGCCAGTGCTGGACCAAGAAAGATGGCAGAGAAACAGAGCTGCCCTCTGGGAGCCCAGAGACTGAGGGACTGGGAGAGGCCGACAAGTAATTACAGCCAAATTTTACAACACAGGTGTTCCAACTGATTCAGGAGCCGAGATGACCCTGGGTTACGTGCAAGAATTGAATAAAATTTCAGCTAGAAGTAAGAGTCTAAATTTTAGGGAATGAATAGTTCAAGTGGTGAACACTACTGTGACATCATTGCTAGGTCATCATTTTTCTTCTTTCTGATGGCTTTAGGGTAAGCCATGGTAACAGGATTATTGAGCTAAAGAGCATGTTCATTATGGCTTTTGTAGATGACTTCAAAGTGCCCAGTCAGCTAGGAGTGAAGCCATGCATGCCTCCTCTTGGCCTTCAGATAGCCCTCTCCTCTTTTTTTTTTTTTTTTTTTGAACTTTATTTTTTTTTTTACAACTTCATTGCTGTCTTTAATTTTTTTTTTTTTAGGTTTCATATAGTTTTTTTTCACATTTTTTTCTCTGTGATTTATCATAACATTTTGTGTATATTTCCCTGTGCCCTCTCCTCTTTTATTTATTAATTTTTATTATTATTTGGGGGGTAGTAATTAGGTTTATTTATTTAAAGGAAGTACTGGGAATTGAACCCAGGACCTTATGCATGCTAAGCACGTGCTCTACCACTGAGCTATCTCTCTCTCCACCTTTAGAGCTTTGTCTACCTTTCCTTCCCACAGCAGCCCACTCCTGCCCAGTCTCGTCACCAAGGCCCCAGAGGCCAATAGTTAAAAACTGTACCAAAAGGCAATGCTGGGGGGAGGGTATGCCTGCTTAGCATGAATGAGGTCCTGGGTTCAATACCCAGTACCTCCGTTAAAAAAATAAATACATAAAAGGCCTCCAGCCCAGGGGACGATATAGGGAATGGCCTGGAGCAGTTAATTGCTGGGACAGAGGTCATTTGTTCCCAGCTCTGGCCTGTCCTCCCTGTTTTAGGAATCTCAGGTTCCAAGTGCAAACTCACTGTTTGCAGACATACTTGTCTAGTAAATCCTTACCCTCTCTCCTCCACATGGGGCTAGCTCAACAATTTAAATTCCAATTCCTTCAAAAAGGACTCAGCACTGACAACGCAGCCAGGGGATGAGAACTTGGAATAACTCCATCTGAGATGGTCTGGAGTTTCCACTCAGCAGCTTGGTGTACAGAGGGCTCCCTCAGCAGCAGGTGAGATGAAAAAGAACCCCAGCTTTGCGGTCAGAATCAACTCTGTGACTTGCAAGTTGTTTAATCTCAAATAATTTCTCCTGGATTCAGTTTCTTTATGTGTATATATTGGAGCTAATATCTACCCTTTCACCCATTTAACAACTACTTCAAAGTTCGCTAAGAGGCAGTGTGGTAAGAGCCAGGACAGGGGACAGACAGAACTGCAATTGAGTCCTGCTTTTGCAACTAACTGGATTGCATTACATCTAGGACAAGATGCAAGAGGAACCATGATTTTAGGTACCCCTGAGGAAAAAAACACTGCCAAGTTCTGACACAATGATTTCTTATCTCTTGGAATTGTATTTTATAGTTATTAAAAGAGCTCTTTTAAACTTACGGATATCTTGACATGGGTTTTTATTATGTCACTCTTCATATACATAAAAGTGAAAATGTAAGCAAAATAAATTAAGGTTGGCAAAGTCCTTAACCAAAGACCACCAGAAACACACCTGTAGAGGGGGTGGGTATAGCTCAGTGTTAGAGCCCATGCTTAGCATGCACGAGGTCCTGGGTTCAATCCCCAGTACCTCCATTAAAAAAACAACAACAACAACACACACCTGTAGTCAGAAAAAAGTCAGGTTTATTTAACTGGCAGCAGTAAAGGAGGATGGATCCTGGAGGAATCCTCGTGTATGTGTCCTCTTAAATTTCATTCCATGGTTCTGTGGGGGAATTAGGGAAGTGGGGACCAGTTCTGGATTGAGTGCTATCAAGAAGAAGGGGCATTTCAGAGTCTGGGTATCTTTATGTTTATCTAGAAGGCAGGAAGATTCAAGCAGGGCTGGAGCTGTATCTCTGGTAAAGAAGCATCAGAGAAAGGTGAAGTCATTTCTGTGGTCATGAAGTGGCCCCTCTAAAGCATCTAAGCGTGTCTCATTCTAAGCATCATTCAATAACAAAATTCAACTAAGTAAATCTGAAGATTTAATTAACTTTATTTAATGATTCATGAATTGGGTGGCATCCCATCTAGTAAACAGAAAAGTGCTCCGAGGAATTGTACAAAATGGAGGAGGCTTATAGAAGGGGAGGGGGTGCATGTAGGGAAGTTAGCAGCAAAAGAAAGACCGGTTTCAAGCCAGGTTCTCCTCTTTGTGGGGAGGGAACAGCAGGGGTCTTCTAAGCAGATTTACCTCACTAGTGCTGATCAGGAAATTTCAGATTGTCTGCTTATAGGTCACATTTCTGGGAGTGGTTGAAATTGCAATTAAGCTTTATTTGCTGTCCTGACGGCAAGTGATTGGGGGCTGGTGCTTCTTTCCTTTTTTTTTTTTTTTTAACACCATGGTTTATGTTCTGCTGGTATCATCACTATCCGAATATTAGACGGGCCACCTTATGCTTTCCTGATATTCCTAAAACTTCACATTGATGTCCATTAGAAAAGGAAGCACCTCCATTTCAAAGATGTTAAAATGTGGGGGGAAATGCTCATCCTAGATTTGATGAAATAGGACTCTTGCTGTATGACCATGAGCAAGTAATTTAACCCTTTAAGGCTCAACTTCCTGCTCTGTTAAAATGGGAACAGTACGCACTACCACGTAAAACTTTCGCGATCTGAGAAATAATGTCTACAAAGTGCCTGGTATAATACTGGGTGTATCACTCAGGGTCCAACCAGGGAAAAATGAACCACTCCGAGTATGTAAAACAGAGAATTTAATGCAGGTTATTGGTGACCTTAGTGACAGGGGTGATGGAAGGGCTGAGAAACCCAACAGGTGATGGAACCCAGAAATCAGCAAAAACTAGAAGCTGCACACACTCCTACACTGGAAGGACAAATGGAGGAGATAGAATTAATGGGGCGCCAGGGGAGGACCGCCCTCCGGCAGTTGGAACCACAGCAGCCTATCTACCCAGTAGGAGCCACAGAGGAGCCTCGCTGGCTGCTGGAGACCTGCCAGAGCGAGAAAGAGAAAAAATAACGTGGCTTTTTCCTATATCCTGCCTTCCAGTCTCCGGCCACTGTCTCCCATCTGCCATTGGCCACATCAGCCTTAAGTCCCGTAAGCCTGAGAAACTGCACTCTGCAGGGCATACAGAGAGAGCAGAAGGGCAAGGAAGGGATCTGGAGCAAAGGGTAGAGAACAACCATTAGATAGAAGTTAGTTAACCAGGTTTGGTAATATCTTTATTCGTAAAACCTCTATAAATTATTGGATACACTTGAAAGTAACAAAATCGTTCACTTAAAAACATACTGTAATCCATATAAACTTCCCAACTCCACTCCTGTTCCAGGCCCACTACATTATTCCGATTACTATGCGTCTGGTTTGTTAACAGTGGCATTTTACGATGGATTTTCAGAGTCAGACATTTTCTCCACTGAAATCTCATGAGGGCTTCCACAGCAGAGGGAGATGCCCATTCCATGTCACAGAGGACAAAGCTCAGACAGAGCAGGATTATGATGCGGCAGCACCATGGCAACTGGACTCTGGTCGTGGGGCTCCCAAGGACTTCTGCGTGACCTTTAGGGAGTGTCACAGTCTCTGAACTCATGTTTAAAAAATGAGAATCACAAGCCTCGGGGCGGTTTACATGCGTCCACACTCCACTTGGCTCTTCATCTTTGCACTACTTTGTCCATAAGGCTCCACAATGTTTTTTTTTTTAAAGAAAGGACCAAATAGTCTAAGAAAACAGATAACGTACCCAAGGTCACAGAGCTGGCAAATCAGAAGGCATTCCGTTTCCACTCTTGTAACGCCAAGGCCCTCTCCGCTACCCCACGGGTTCTTTTCGCGCCGGGGGCATCTTCCAGCAGTTCAGGGAAAGGCGAGAGCGACCCCGATCAAAATCCTGGGGCATCTTGTAGCGCTCTTCGTGCCAGCCAATGTGCCCGACTGGCATCTCTCAACGGAGGGCGACTTGCCGGGCTCGGCCAGCCGCAGGACGCTGCCGGACTCACGGAACTCACGGTCCTCTCCCGCAGGCCGGAGACCCTCGCCTTCGCGACGGAAGGCGGCCGGAAGCCCGCGGCCCTGCCCGCCCCCCGCGGGTCCCCGGGATTCTAACGGAGCCGCGTGCCCGGGGCGGGGCCACGTGCGATTGGCCGCGC